TTGACTCCTACACGGTTTCTGCAGCTTGAAGTGCATGGACAGCAGACGCCGTGCCGATCTGGAACACGACCTTGGACGACTCTTCCGCGCACGTGCGAAACACGACGCTGTCCCCAGTGCGACTCACGTAGTCGACCGTGTTCAACACGTCTACGCACGATATACGTGATGGCTGGATGCGGCGATGATTCGAGCTACCGTTGACAACTCGGGTAGTGGCTGCAATCTTTTTGTCAATGATCTCTTCGCCGTAGACCAAATCGGCACCGTATCGCAGCGACAACAAGCGCAAAGGCAGCGTTCCCTGCACGTTTACACCAAACACACCAGCGTTGTCATGGAATAGGCAGAGACGGCGGAGTGAAGCATATGGGCACATACCGCGCGCACCATCGGCGCCAGACACACCGCGTTCTCGTACATCTTGGAGTCCATCGCGCCGGTATTATCTCGCGCGGAAAACTCTTGGTTCATACGGAGTTTGATTGGCTGGGACTTCCAATGCAGTATTTCAACCAATCCCATCACCTCTTTCCAAATAATCGATTTTGATTCGCGGTTTTTTAGCGAATCAAATCATCCCTTCCGAGCTCCCAATGATGGGATTCTTGGGATATTTCCTGGGGAAGGCACATTGGAACTCGAAATTTCCACGACGCGGGACCAACCGCCCGATCATGGCACGATCGAGAGTGATGGTCCTCCACACTAATTGCGTTTCATCAACTCACCGGGACGCTGACGTACGATGGGCGGTAAGAAGGCCATCAACCAGCAGGACAAGCTTGCCAAGGCAAACGCGTCATCGAGTGCACGAGCTGCACAGAGCCTGTTGGGGAAAAGCTCTTCCACGGGATTTATTGGATTTTCTGCGTTTGCTGCGCCAGCTACATCGATTCCAGCACGAGCTTCTGCGAGCGCGACGCCAGCTCCCGCGACATCCAACACGTCGTCGTTTTCGTTCTACGATGGTCCAGACATAGAACTCTCCCTTGCACTCAAGATGTTGGGAAAACGTGACGCGCAGACCAAGACGAAAGCGCTCACGACACTGAGGGACACGCTTGTCCCGGTGCGAAAACCGGCCGACCTCCGACCAGCGATTGGACAGTATTGCTATCTATATGGCGCGAAACTCATGCTTGACAACGATCGCCGAGTCCGCCAACTCGCCACAGAAGTCCTTGGAGCTCTCATCGAGCGCCTGACGAAAGGCACGGTATTCCACAACCACATGCAACTCTTGCTGCCGCCCTGGTACTTGCTAGCCATGCACGACATTCACGCAGACACGGCCAAAGGAGCAAAGCGCGCGTTTGTCGCGTTGCTTCCGACCGAAGAGGCACAGACAGCGGTCCTAGCTGCCCACGCGGACCTTTTGCTCACCAACGTGCAATCGTATCTGGCGTTAACAGTCGAGTCGTTGGTCGATCGTGGACTTTGTACCCCGGAGGAAGCCGACGAATGGTACGTTGGTTTGTCCGTTGTCGATACTCACTTGTTCACACATGCGTCGTGAACGAACGAGTCGGGCCATGCCGTCGATACGTTGGTGATTCACGCACGAGTTGACGCGCTTTGTGCGTAGCTATGAGCGCTGCGTGACGTCTGCGTTGCTGGGGGCCCGTACACTGCTGAGCCAGCCAGCTCCACCGTCGTCCATCTTTCCGACGCACGTGAACGACGACTCGATCCGACAATTTCTCACCGGCCTGGCCAAATTTACGACGCTCACTTCGAAAAATGCGACGTTTTCGAGGACTAGCATTCGGCACGCGGCGTACGAGGTGCTGACGGCCGCCACCACGGCTTGTCCAGATCTTCTCCAATCGGCCATCGACCCCAAAGTCGTCCTGGGAGTCGTCGCGGAGAAATTCCCAGCCAACGTGCCGGCGGCGTGGACGTTGGTGCTGACGTACTTGAACGCGTTCCAACATGTGGCCTCTGACGATGCTACGTCCAATTTTTCATGGTCGACGATCCTGCCCAACGTGTTGCCAAAAGTTCTCGCGGCAACCAAGCATGCCAATTACGGCGCGACATCGTCCTTGTCCAACTTGCTCCCGTTTGTGTCGCTCGTGCCCAAGAATGTTTCGAGCACTTCGTTTTACGTCGACTTGCTCGCTGCGCTGTGGAAGTCGCTCGACAGCCCGCACGTGATGCATGGACAGTCGCAGGTCGTGACGGCGTTTGTCGAGTGCTTGTCCGCCATGTGGACGATCTTTCCAGAGCATGCGACGTCGCGGTCGGATGCCCAGGACAGTGCATACGTCACGTCGTTCGAGAACGTGATCACGATGGCGTGGACGAAGGCGCTGACGACGACTTGTCTCCCAGATCGATCGTTCCGCGTGTTTCTGGACCTCATGACGGCGTTGGTGCCGCGATTGACAGCATATTCATCCCGTCAAGACGATGGCGACAAGTGTCACATTCCATCGCTCGCTGTTTGCTTACTCCATCGTGCCTTGCATGCCGCCCTCCACCGAGGTTTAGCCCATGACGCGTCGCACAAGCGGATGCTCGACACGCTGCGGCAACTCGTCAACGTTGCCTCGGCCACCACCACCACAACCGGAGCGTCATGGACAGAGGAAAACGTCGTGGGGCGTCCGCTTCTGGAAACCATTCGATCTTTGGTGCCGATCGGAGCGGTGTACACGACGGCGTTGCTCGTTTGGCTAGGAAATCTCCTCGATCTCCTGGGGTTGTCCACATTATTCCCTGACACGATGGCTGCGCTGGCGACTTTCCAGCAGTTCGTCGCGCCGTCGTTTTCGTCCATTGGCCAAGACAAAGCGCCGTATTTCCGTGTGTGGAAGCACTTTGCTCCGTTTGCGCCAAGTGTGTTGTGGACTCAATTGCTTGTCCAGTGGGAATACCGCACGGACGTCGTGGCTTGGAAAAACGAAGCATTGCCGCAGGCGCCGCCGTCGCTCCTGTCACAGTGGCACGTGTTTGCCCAGACTGAGCCTTCGTGTCGTCAGCCGGACGACTCGTTGTCGTTGTTTGCGACCATTTGGAACAGCCACTGGTTTGACACACGCGTGATGGTTGTGCTGTTGGAGTCGTCTCCAGCGACGCCTACATGGGCCGACGACGAGCTGGGCTTTTTCACGGCGTGCTGGGGCAACCTGCAACCTCTCGTGTCGCCCGCAACACTTCGGCAAGTGCTCACGTGGTGTCGCCAACATCGAGCAACTCCGAAAGCGTGGTCGTTGCTCGAATCGTTGCTGCCATTGCTTGTGGCGATAGACTCCAACGACATCTGGCTTGACGTGATCGAGCTCGTCGACACGGTCGTGGCGCATCTCGCGCTTCATTCGCACGCTATGGCAGTGTGGAAATCGACGATTCGGACGTCGTTTGTATCGCAGTGGTCGATCACGTACCAAACCATGCTCCTGGACAATTGGGTTGACCATCTCCACCGCTTGTACTCGTCCGACACGTCATCGGCGACTCCGTCCTGCAGGTATTTTCGGTTTACCTCTCGCCGATAATCGGAATGTCTGACCGTTTCTGTAGTGCAGCACAATGGGCGGTGCTGTGCGCAGAATTTGTCACGTTAGACAACGCCCTGTCCACACCGTACTGGGAAAAGTTGCCGTTGACGGACTCTGCCACGTCCCCGCCGTCGTATCGGTTGCTGGAATGCGTGGCAGAGCTGTGCCACTGGAACCACGCGTCGCTCCTCCACGACGCAAACGGATACCTTCCAACGCGGTCGCCGGACCAAGTGTACAGATGGCTTTTTGTCGACGTGGCGTTTGCATTGACGTGGTACACCGTCGATATCGACCCGACTGTCCTCAGCGAACACGTCGGCACGTGGATCGAGCCGTACTTGATGCTGACTGAGCTCCTCGAAGCGTTGGGCGATCGGCCTCTGCTTGTCCAGACGTTGCTCCATGTGGCCTCATCCCTCGACGACGACGAAACAGGATGGTTTGACACAATTCTGTTGTCCCACTTGGACCAGGCTCCGAGCGCCTCGACGCGGCAACGGGATGGTCCAGGGGTTCCTCGACAACTGAAGCTGTGGATGTTTGAAATCGGGCTCGACTACCTCTCGACTGACTTGCTTCTAGCGTCGGTCCAAGACCTGACGGACAACATCCCGGCCGCGTTTGTGCACGTTGCGCTGCCTCGAGTGGTACAATCCGTCCTGGACATTTCCCATGGCGACGACGCCAGAACGGAGGCCCACACAGCGGCCATGGCATCTGCCGTGCAGGCATTGACCCAATTGAGATTGACATCGGTGCTTTCATGGACGGCCGACCCGACGGCTTCACTGGATGCGTTGACCCAGATCGCGCACCTCCTGCCGTTCATGCACTCGTTTCACACGGCATCGGTCCCCGTCGACGACGACGACGTGGTCGCTCTTGTTGGACGTCGGCTGAAAGCCCCATCGTCGAGGATTCCCGTGACCGAATGGCTCGTTCTGGCATCATTTGTCTTGGCGAGTCTACAACTGGCGCCGTCCCCACCACCGCCGAATCTGGTTGGTGTGGCAGGGCAGCTTGTTCTCCATGCCTTCTCCGCCAAGCAAGACGTGTCCGAGCTCGTGACTGCCAAACTCCACGGGACTTCCGTCGACTCGATTCGTGCGTTGCGCCATGTCCACCCTCAGTTCTTGGCGTGTCGGCGGATGCTTCTGCGCCTGGTCCAAGCGCTGGTTCGACACGGCCACAATCACTCGAGCATCGAGCTGGCACGGCACCATCGGGACGCGCTGGCGATGGTCGGTCTCCGCACAATTGTCGACTGTTTGCAGCTGAAACCCCAATTTCACGTTGCGTTTGCCACCGCCCCACCGTCGGAGAGCGCCGAGACTGGTGCCGCGTTGGGTATGTGGTCCTTGGTGCAACACACCTACGACGTCGAACAAGCGCTGACTGCGGGTCTCCTTGGTCTCCACGACTTGCTTCGGTTTGTCGAGCTGGACCACACCGACGTCGCGCGCGTCATCTTGCAAGTGTCGCAAGGCCGAGACCTGTTGTGGCACGCCCTTAGCGAGACGATCACGCATCCGACACTACAAGCAGCACTGTACCAAGTTCTTCGTCTCACGAATCTGGCAGTAGACCTACCTAATGTCCAAGACGTGGTGGACGTCGACGGCGAAGACGAGGCGGCGACCGACGTGGCCCTGGCGGACCTCGTCATAACTCCAGGCCTGCGCCAGGCGCTGGCAAAGCTGCACGTCGATTCCGACGACGGCGCGCCGTCCAAGGCAAAGTCGACCGGGTCGCCTCCCCTCGGCCGCCTCTTGGTCTGGGATCTGTTTCTCCGCATGTTTCCCGACTCGTCGAGTCCGCTCGTGACGTCCGCTCTCGGCGCGTACGTGGCAAAGCAGAAGCTGCTCCACTCGGTCTTGACTCTGTGCGGGTCGTTTATTCAAACGACCAAGGTCCAACTCACGTCCGTAGAAGCCGTCGACGCGGCATTCCCGACCTTGGCGACGCTGGGCCAACACAAATTCACCGACACGTTTGTCGACGCTTTGGCCGGCGCCGTGTTTTACAAAACAGTGGTCAAGCTCCCAACCATGGTGCGGCTGTGGTGGAACGACGATTGTTCCCGTAGTGCGCGCAGCTGGATCTCCAAGTTTTGCGAAGATGTAGGTGCACGTAATTGCTGGCACGAGATGGTGGCGCGCGTTCTCAAAGCTAGTTGTGCTTACAGCGATGTTCCTGGTAGACTGTGTCGCCGCTTATTCTGTTGGACGAAATCCGAGCGATCCATGCTGCGGAGAGCAAAGCATTGTGGGACCCAGAGTACGTTCATCCCTACCTTGTGTCGCGATCGATGGGGCACACTCACCGACGCGTAGCGAGATGACGGTGCGTGGCAGCAAAGTGTCCCGCGAGATCACAACGACGTACTTGAAAGACGAGTGCACGTTGGAGATGGTGATTCGCGTGCCGGCGTCGTACCCCCTGCGCAGCGTCGAGGTCGAGTGCACGAAGCGCATTGGGATTTCCGAGGAACGGTGGCGCCGGTGGGTCCTCCAGATTCTCAAGGTCACCACATCGCAGGACGGATCCCTCCTGGACGCCGTGCTATTGTGGAAGTCCAACGTGGACAAAGAGTTCGACGGCGTCGAGCCGTGCCCGATCTGTTTCTCGATCTTGAATCCCAAAACGATGGGCCTCCCAAACCTCCAATGCCGAACGTGCTCCAACAAGTACCACAACTCGTGCTTGTATAAATGGTTCAACCAGTCCAGCAAGAACAAGTGCCCGATCTGCCAGCAGCCGTTCTGTTAAGTCGAGCACGGGGGGGATGCTGACGCCCGACTGGCGTCCGCCGCGCATCCTAAACTGTGGTGTAATATGCTGACATGGTCCAGCAGATCCTGGAAATGTCGTGATTGTTTGTGGACTGGAACGACCGGCAAAGGTCGCTAGAATGGACATCTCGTCGCGCAGAGTGTTTGCGTGGTGCCGTCATCACAGGCGAATGCGTCCACGATTGGAAGCAGCACCATCGCCACGATGCCAACGTGGTCTGGATTATGAAATCGTGCACCAGCAATTCATGCTGGCCGGGACCGCCCGGTTCGCATCGTAGGACGCGATCAAAGCTACGAGATGGTGCCCAACGTGAGCCTAGCCACAACGTCGCGATCGAAGTGGGGACGCACCTTGGGTTTCCGATTTGGGTGGCAAAATCGACACGTTGACTGGGGTCGGATGGCCTGGAAAGATGGGGACTTTGCACTCGACGAGGGTTTTCGTGTCCTGGAGCACGCCAAGGCCCATGCAAATGAGTCGAATGCTCGTGATGGCCTCGGGCTTGGCCAGCCCTACGCGCCACCATGTTGGGCCAACTGCATCTCCTTCCGAATAAGGCAAGGACTGAGAGATGAACCTGGTGGCCACAGCGCCAGTAGCTGCGTCTTCACTTCGGACACATGTTGATCTCTTGTCGTCGCCAGCGTGATCTTGACGCCTTCTTTGTTGGCAAAGAGAAACTTGAGCTGCACAGGCTCCATGGACCGAGCAGTCGGTTGAGGGAGACGCCGGCGGCACCCAGCAAACTACTTTTAGCGCAAAACCCTCGGACGTTTCTTGGTCCAGTCCTCGGGCTCCATACCCACATCATGGTCAAGGCAGAGTCATACACATGACACACCAGTCCTCGCGTTTGCATTACGTGGCCCGCAGTGTACGGAGCGACTCGAACGCGATCGCTTCGTTGCAGGAACAGCTGCATACAACGCGAAGCTGAACCAGCAACTCAAAACACTCCGACAGACAGCAGTGTGCCGTTCCTGGCCAAACAAAAGAATGTGCCAGCGCGATCGTATCCACACGCTGACGACACTTGATCGGACAAGCATTTCCTGCATGATGACGTTGCTAGACGCATTGTCATGCAAAATTCGTTGGCCATGCCTTGAAGATTCGTTTGAGGCCAAAATGTTGCAATGGTGTGCCAAGTCTGATGGAAACCCACGGGAACCTGTAGGCTCCACCACCCGCACACGTGACGAGGATTGGCGCCAGCTCGCCAAGGAGTAGTTCTGCTCCACCTTCGGCAAATCCTCAGACGATCAAATGTAGCGAGAAAGCCAATCTTGCTGTTTGAACGCCTTATCTGCCTTCATCTATTCATGGTGCGGTCGTTGGCGAAGGTGCGCGGGAGCGGCCCGTTGGTCCTCGTACTGGATCCTGGCACTGTGCACCGCCAACTTGCCGACAACGTACACGCTGCTGGCGGCCATGGCGTAAATGCCAAGGAGGTACGATGCGACGACGGCGACGGCGCCGAGGAGCGCAAGGCCCACAAACGCCACGGCACTCAACGGATCCGGGTTGTACGTGAATACCATCGAAAAGAGCGACGCGGTAAAGTAGAAGAGGCTTCCAATCAGGCCAAATGTAAAGTTGATGAGGGCGACGAAGGCCCAGTGAAAGATGAGGCTGATCACGTTCTCCTCGCGGGATTGCAGCACGGAAAACACCATTTGCCAGAAAGTCTGCCGCGACGCAAACACCTTGCCTACATGTCGTGGTAAGATGGAGTAACGTAGGAGGATGTTGTGCCACGACGCACCCGAATCGAACGCAGCCCAGAACCGAGCACGCACTTCGTTCAGCCCGTAGTCCGACCAAAGCCCGACGTACGCTTTGGCTTCTCGCATCTTGGCCTCGCGAAGATCGTCGAGATGGTTTAACTTTGTTCGCGCTTGCGTTGCAATGGCTTGTCGCGCGTCCACCACAGCTCGATGTTCGGGCCGGAATCGCCAAAACCAGACCTGTGCCTCCGCGACGGCTTCTTCCGCGTTTAATAGCGCTGCATACGTTTCGTCGTAGTTTTCGATGTGTGCTGCATCCACCAGCTTGGCCTCGTAGACGTGTTTCATTTCATCCGTCACGTGAATTGGTGCTGGCGCCCACAGCATCGCAAACAACCCGACGAGCCAAAATAGAGTCAGTGTCCGCACCCGCGGAGACGACGCGGCTTGCTTCACAAGAGACACTACAATCTGCCCTTCCGACGATGACGACGGCATGTTGGACGGAGCGCGGGACACGTACACGTCATCGATTGGCACGGATCGCCGCGGTTGCATATTCGTCTCGTTGGTGTA